ATATACGAAGCTAGATTCTACCCTTCATGTAAAGCAATCTCGCAAAAAAAAAAAACAAACAAACAAACAAAAAAAAACATAAAAATGTGCACATATATATATATATATATATATATATATATATATATATATATATATATATATATATATATATATATTAAATGTTACAAGTGCAGTTTTATAACTTTGCATTTTGTCAAAACATTTTGTGTTTAAATGCTAAGGGGAACTTCTATACATCGATCTCTAAAAAACATAACCAAAACAAAAAAAAAAAATGTGAAAAAGCATCAGACTCTGCAGCCTCCAGAAGCAGAAAACAGTCTGACTCTGCACCGACTGAGCAGGTTTGTCATTCTGTGTCTAAACAGAGACGATGAGTGGAGAGAGGCAGGTCCACTGCCGCAGCCAATCAGAGCGCGGCACTGCCGCTCGGCAGAGTGGAGTTCAGTTTTTAAAAATCCTACACAGCTGTGATCAGCATCTGCCTGCCTGTGTGCATCAGTCATATGAAACCGGCTAATTTCTTCAAGATTCAAGATGTCACAAACTCCGGCTCAGGTAAAAATGACTTCTATATTGAGGAAATGCTGATTATCTTGCTTAGTTTTTCCATTTGAAAATAAAACAAAAAACAAAAACCTGAAAAGCCCACAGCTCGTGTACAAGGTTGCATTTTGCTCACCGTGGCTCTTAACATTCATGGGCACCACTTTCTTCACCACGTAGCCCTTTCCAGTGGCTGCTGCAGAGGCCACAATGAGGAGGAGGATGCTTGCCACTCGTAGGTCCATGTTGCAAGCTCAAACCTGCAGGGAAAAAGAAGAAGATTGTCAGTGCAACTGTCCCACAGGTAAATCTTTCTAGCATCACTTGCTATCATGTCCTACAGAGATTTGTTCTAACACTGAGGCTGCAAATCGGCATCTGAACCTCAGCGGGATGCACACAAGAAGTCTGTTAGCAGGATCTTCTGAATATTGCCTGTGAAGCATCCTGAAGTTCTACTTGTTTCTCCATTGAGCCGAGGCCTGGAGAAAACCTGGATCTCTGCTATTGCTTCCCCACAGAAAGAAACACTCAGAGTGGAAGAGGAAGGTCGAACATACCGGCATCCAAAGGAGAAGAAACCCAAATCTCTTCTGCACCAGAGAGCTCCTGGTGCCGCTGTATATCCTTAGGGTAGGAGCACAACTGAGGATATGCTGCCCTCCAGTACAATGAAGTGGGTATTTATACCATATCTGCCCCTCACATCATTAAAAAAAACTCACCAAAAAAGCACCTCCCTCCTTAGAGCTAGGGTGTAATTAGCAGACAGATCTTCCCAAAGCGGGCATGTCACGTCAGAGTGCCTCCATGTCTTGAATATCCAGACACATGATTATCACATTTTCTTCTGTCTTCTCTCTTCTTGAAATAAAATCTTGATAAATGAAAATTGTATTGAGGAATTTGAGGAATAATTTGATGCCATTTAGTTCCTGTATTGTTATTGACTTCCCTGATTGCTGGTGGGCTTCTGTAGACCTTTATCCCTTAGATTTATTACTTTTCTATTTTTTTTCTAATTCCTGTAAGGATTACTGATTACTTATTTATTACAGTGACTATTATTTTTAAGATTTCTTTAGCTATTTAATTAGTTTTTCCTATATTTTTCCTATGATCGGTCCTTCCAGCAATTACATAAATGTTTTGTCTATTTTGTGTTTACTTTCCACATTCATACATTGACATATGAAATGATAGAGGCATATTTATGAGCAGTAAATATGCCTCTCTTTACTGCTGGAAAGAAAGTTATTTTCTTTCTTTATTCGTTTTCTTCTCACTTCATTTGCATTTTATTTTCGAACCCCCAAAAGAGAAAAAATATAACCACTTTATGCAATATTTAATTTGAAAAACTGGTTATCTATAATGTTTGTATTCGGGAAACAAAGTTTGTACATAACACTTTCTGAAAATGGGTCAGTTTCTACCCATATGAATCTTGCTGGGAGGATTTAGTAAAGACATTGCAAACTGCATAAATCGTGGGTTTGACAACTAAGATCAACTGAAATGTATATATGACTGAATAGAAATTATTTATTTCTTTTGATTAAAAGAAAAATCACAACAACATTTGTTGTGAATTGGCGCTAACTAAAGTGAATTGAAGTCATGATTTGTTAGGGAGGAGAGTTATCTGGACTTTTTTGAATGAGTTAAAACATTTAAAGAACAAACATAGGACAACATTGAAAGGGGCAAACGTGTTATCTACGCTTTAATATCCACATTATTTGATCAGATTGGTGTAGTTGCGATACAGCATGGGATGACGAACATTTCTAACATTTCTCCTTCGTTTTAGCATCTTTGGAAGTTAAAGAGCCTCTATCTTAACACCCGAGCACACGCAGTGCAACCACTCAGCCACCAGGGGGCACGTTTTCACTTGTGTACAGCAGATTTTTCACAGCCATACCCTTGTGGTCATGCATTATTTTTGGTCCTCTCAGTGCACATATATTACCCAGGGCCTGGGGTGCATTTGCTCCAGTAAATCTGGTTCCTGTCGTGATGTGATGTTGTATTTCCTCAGTCAGCCCGTCAGTTATCCTCCCTTGCCCTCCACCTTGCTTACTTTGAGATCTTCCGACTGTAATTTCACAGCTTCAGGCCCGGCCACATAGGAAATGCATACACCCAAATAATCACATGTTCTCTAACACACCAGCAGCCATAAACGATGTGTAGGGTAGTTCCCGTGCCCCGTTCCCAAATCTCCCTGACCATCGCGCCGCCGTTTATAGCACGTGTTCGTCTTTCGCTCCTCTAATGTGCGCACATCGTGCAGGCAACATGTGTATATTTGACAAAATGATGATGAGCTGTGTGATTGAGGCCTTCGCTGGGTTTCTATATGAGGCGTCTATAGCGCACGTGACTCTGACAGGCGTCTTTCACCACAAGTTTAATTAAAGATCCTTCCAACAGGGCTCGTTTGAATCCCCCCCCACCACCACCCCATCCCTCTTGTCGCTCTTCTCT